ACTGATATGGGGAGTTGTGTCCTTTAGGCATTGGTGGGGTGGGGGGGGCGGTCTGCGTCCACACCTGGGCCACTGATATGGGGAGTTGTGTCCTTCAGGCATTGGCGGGGGTGGGGGGGGTCTGCGTCCACGCCTGGGCCACTGATATGGGAAGTTGTGTCCTTCAGGCATTGGCGGGGGTGGGGGGGTCTGCATCCACGCCTGGGCCACTGATATGGGGAGTTGTGTCCTTCAGGGCCAGGGCAGTAAAGTCCAGGATTGCTAGTGAGCTCCCCAAGGGGAAAGGCAGTTTCAGAAACAGATGCCCCTGCTGGAGATTCTTCCTCCAGAGCCAGTCCTGGAGGACAGAGGTTATCCCAGGAAAGGAGCGTGGGAATTGGCTTACAGAAAGGAGTGGGCTGGTGGCCTGGTCTGGACATACTGGTTTGAGGAAGGTCCTCCCAATCCCACTCTGTCCAGTTCATTAGGAACTACCCATTTGGCTGCTGCTCCTCCAGGGATGTTCTAGCCAGGCTTTTCTCACACCCTGGGGTGATGACCTCACTCACCCTGGCTGGAGGCGAGGCTTCAGGACAGCACAGAGTTCAGACACCAAGGCCTCCAAGCCTGGAGGAGACAAACTGCTCCAGAGAGTGGATTTCTCTGAAGGAAGCCATGGAACAGGGCTCAGGGTAGAACCCACCTGTGAAAGGTAGGAAAAAGCTTTCATTTCTAAAAATTGTTTCTACCCCCTGTGCTGGTCTACACCCATCCCTGGGGCCTCACCATGTACAAGGAGGTATGGGTGGTGTCGGCCAAGTAGGCGCTGGCTGGCCCATCTGGAGCTTCCCCAGCTGTTTTCTTCACTTTAAAAAACATTTCCCGCCACCTGCAGGAAAAAGGCCCAATGAACCCCAGACGCAGAGTCCAAAAATGCCCCCTCCTCAAGGACAAGGTTTCTCAATCACAGAGGACAAACAAGAGCACCACAAGTGCGTGTCCTGAGTCATGGTGGGGAAAAGGAATGCAGATGGACTTTCTCCTCTTCCTGACAGACCATACACACCTTGAGGGCAAGAGCTATGCCTGTCCCTCTGCATCCCCCATGACAGCCATGAGAGCTCTGAGGGGGTGTGTTTCTCCAGGCATGTGGCCTACCCACCCACAGCAATGGGAGAAGCCGCTGCTGCACTAAGCAGTGGATCATCTGATTATTTCCACTGGCTTCAGTCTCCCCCTCAAATACACAGCCACCCAGGCCCCAAAAACCCCAGGGGGAAGGGTCCCTTGGCTCTTATTCAATAATCCACAAAATGTCATTGCAGGTTGAGTCCTTAATAATGCCATCTGATGAATAACGGTTCTGTATTCTGGCTGCACACTAGAATTATCTGTGTAACTTTAAAAACTAAATATTTCTCACATATTATGTGATTCCATTCAGTAGAACAGCAGTTGCCATTGGCTAGGAGGGAAGCTATAGGGAATGACTGGTAATGGGTGCAGAGTTTCTTTTTAAGGTGTTGAAAATGTTCTGGAATTAAACAGTGATGTTTGTTGGTTGTACAACCTTATGAATTAAAAAATTGAATTATATACTTTAAAAGCATGGTATTACGGTGTGTGAATTTTATCTGTTTTTAAAATTAACCTTTCTCCTTCCTTTGTGAAGAAAAAAAGCACAGGCTCTAGCCTCACCCTGATTCTGCTCCAATAGATCTGGGGTGGGGCTTAGGTACCTGTATTTTTTGAAAGATTCCCCAGCAATTCTGATGCAAAACCAGGGCTGTGCAGTCGTTGGCGAGTATCATAGTGAGTTAGGGTTATTCAACCTACTAACAGGGAAGAGGATGGGTAGCAGGAATAGCTACTAACCCAATTTTCCAGATAAAGAAATGATGAACTACTTCCCTCTTTAATCCTCGGGCAGCAAGGCAACGACAGAGCCAGGCTATAACCTAGTCCTCTTTAAGATCCAATCAGGCTGCAAATTCCTCTGCTCACACTGCCCCACAGTCTCCAAGCTGCTCTCTCTAGCAGCAAAGGGGTGTGAGAGTACAGCAAGGTGGAGAGGGAAGCATACCAGGTTAGTATTATGAAACTCTTCTAAGTACTATAGTAAACCTAGAACATCAGGAAGCCTGAATCTGCCTATAATTAATTATAAATAGATGACAGTGGGCCTCTAACCTAGGATCTCCATCAAGTTCAACAGCTGAGTCATAGTGTGTATGACTCAACATGGAAGCCCTGCATAGGAATGAGATGGGGGACAGCACTGTGGCGTAGGGAGACACTACCTTCCTCAGTGGAGGGTGGTTGGACCACCTCAGTGAATAGAAAGGCCAGAGCTCTGGACCCTATGTGGACACTGCTAAGGAACACTGGGCTGTGCTCCAGCCAGCCAGATAGGTGATAGTGGAGCTGGCTCCCATGCAGCCTGGTTTGGGGAAGTGGAGCACCAGGGACAGGATGGAGAGGCTACACCACCAACAGTGGAATTCCTTTGCAGGGCTCACAGGAACTTCTGCAGGGCTTCCCTTCTCAAGTCCAGTGCAGCTTAAAATGCTCACCTGTATCTGTCCTTGGACCCATTGGTTTCCTTGCTTTCCTTGCGGGGGAAAGAACTATGTGCTCAGCACTTAGGAGGAAAGCAGGGTTCTACAGAGTTGAGACAATAGAGAACTGGCTTGCCAGCCTGTCTCATGAGGTTCTAGTGTCTATTTTCCTTTGAAAGTACAAAGAGTGGGCATTCTGTAGTTTTCCTACTGAAAGCTAGCTCAAAGACGTTTGCTAAATTTAAGACAGGAGATAGAGGTGGGAAGTGACTGCTAAGTGCCAGCCTGGCATTTTCCACCAGACTCGTTGTGTACTTAATCTGGAAAACCTTGAAGAGGTGACCTGGAGCCTAAATGGGGTTACACGGGGCACCACTACCCTGAGACTGGGGGTACTGAGCAGTAGCCAGAACCAAGCACTGCATATTGACCAGGGATGACTCAGGCACTCCAGACAAGGACTCTCTCTCCTGGCAGAGGACCCAGGCTGGCTATGCCACAGACCTTGGACATGAAGGCTGTTATGCATGGGTTAGTGCATCTATCAGTTGTGCTCTCCTTCTAGTAAATTGCTACAGGAAATGAGTTCAGAATACAGGGAATGCTGGGATACAGGGCTACACATTTTCCTCCCTATGCATAAGGCTAAAGCAGTGTCTCAATTCTTTGCCTCAACATTTTACATGGAACCTCTGTGGTCAGAGTCAACAGCAGGAGAAAAGCTGGATTCCTTATTTTGGGTTCTTGGCTCGGTTATGCTCTATTTCTCATTCTCTGTTGATAGGAAAGGGTAGCCCTCTCAAAAACAATAGAAATCCCTCTTTCCCGTTTTCAGAGATAGGATTGAGAAGTAGCTTGTGCACACTCCATAGTTAAGGCAGAAATCAGAGCCTGTATATCCTTATGTTGAGATATGGATGGTATGGCCCAAGTCTTGGTCCAAACAACACCAAGGCTGAGAATGGAAAGGAAGGAATCCGTCTTGGTCTAGGCCATTAAATTCTTCTTTAAAATAAATAAATAAATAAATAAATGAGATGGTCTTGCTGTGTTACCCAGGCTAGAGTTCAGTGACGCGATCTGGGCTCACTGCAACCTCCGCCTCCCAGGTTCAAGTGATTCTCCCACCTCAGCCTCCTGAGTAGCCAGGATTACAGATGTCCACCATCACACCCAGCTAATTTTTGTATTTTTAGTAGAGACAGGGTTTCACCATGTTGGCCAGGCTGGTCTTGAACTCCTGACCTCAAGTGATCTGCCCACCTCAGCATCCCAAAGTGCTGGGATTACAGGTGTGAGCCACCACGCCTGGCCTAAACTCTTCTTAGTGCTTTGCTTTACATAGGGTCACCAGTCAGTTTGAGAATAAACACCTCCCAAAGCCAGCAGTGAGGGTTCTTTTTGTTTGGTTGTTTTTTGAGACAGTGTCTAGCTATATTGCCCAGTCTCCCGAGTAGCTGGGATTACAAGTATGCACCACCATGCCTGACCGGTTCTTAACCTTTCTTCAGTCATACACTTGTTTGGGAACTGAAGGACTGGTGAATTTTCTCTCCAAAAAAATGTACACAGACTTGGGGTGAGTTGCGCATAACTGTAATCTCAGCACTTTGGGAGGCCAAGGCAGGCAGATCACTTGAGCTCGAGTGTGAGACCAGCCTGGGCAACATGGCGAAACCCTATCTCTACTAAAAATACAAAAACCAATAGCTGGTTGTGATAATGCGAACCTGTAGTCCCAGTTACTATGGCAGGGGCAGTGCTGAGGTGGGAGAATCACTTGAGCCATGGAGGTAGAGGCTGCAGTGAGCTGTGTTTGCACCACTAAACTCCAGCCTGGGTGACAGAGCAAGATCCTGTTACACACACACACACATACACACAGTACATGACAACAAAATCCTCTTGGGCACAAATTACATATGATTTGCAGGGAAGGGACTGTAGAACCCATGCAACCAGGTTACAAATCCCAGCTATAGGACAGAAGGCAGCTGCATACCTGGGCAGTTTCTCTGGACTTCCTTCCAGGATCTCTACTTGCCCAATTGTTGGCACACACAGAACATCCCCTTCCTGGACTACCCTGCAACACAGCAGTGGCCCTGGTCAGGTCACAATGGGAGTAATGAGCATGTGTTCATTACCACAAACCCACCCCCAACATGCAGACTACTTCCACCCAGAGACCTACTGCCCACCCAGAGATCCCACGCAGTTCTCCAAGGAACAAGTCAGACTTAGGATGAGCTAGGGGAAATGGTGGAGAGACTAGAAAGGGGGATCAGAAACAGATGAGAGGCAGAGCAGGATCCTGGCTCTTTTGGAGCCCTCTTTGATCACAGGTGTCTCTGTTTGGAATGTCCAAATTAACCTCATGGTTCAGATTTCTCTTCTGTGGTCTCCCTGATATACCAAGAGGCACCTACCACAATCTGTCTAAAATGTGGCTTCTTTTTTTTTTTCTTTTTGAGATGGAGTCTCACTCTGTTACCCACGCTGGAGTGCAGTGGCGCGATCTCGGCTCACTGCAAGCTCTGCCTACTGGGTTCACGCCATTCTCCTGCCTCAGCCTCCTGAGTAGCTAGGACTACAGGCGCCCGCCACCATGCCCCGCTAATTTTAGTTTTGTATTTTTAGTAGAGATGGGGTTTGGTCTCTACTAAACCCCAGGATGGTCTCAGTCTCCTGACCTCATGATCTGCCCGCCTCGGCCTCCCAAAGTGCCGGGATTACAGGCGTAAGCCATAGTGCCCGGCCACAAATGTGGCTTCTTTTAACCAGGGCCTCTGGGGTACCTGATTCTAAGGCATGGGATAGGAGGAATGTGATGAGGGTGAGATGCTATCCTCCTTAAAAGGTTAGGTAGCTAACCTGGGTATCTGAAAGTGCCGGTAAAGAACACCGTCATAATTTCCATTAGTGCTGTAGTGGGGAGAAGACACAATTTCGATGTATAACTCTCTGGCAAATGGAGGCCCAGGCAGCAATGAGCAGCTTCCTTTGTCTTCAGGGGCGATGGAGCCTTCCAAATACCTCTATTAGAGAAATAACCGCCATGTTATAACCTTCTCCTAAGGGGGCAGGCTCTAACCTGTCTCTTAGCAGCCAACATGTCTATTTCCATCCTGTCTTTCCCATAACTACAAGGCTTGTGGAAGGTGGCACCTGAGGTAGCAGACCTGAAAACCTCTCCCTCTAATGGGTACCAGGAAGAGAATGTCACCTCCTATCCCCACTCTGGCTCCAAAAAATTTTCTCGGTAAAGATAACCTTTCTGTGACACCTTTAACTTGGCCCAGAGCCTGTGAAATGGTAAAGACATTTATTCCCACAAGACCTATGAGTGACACCAGGCACCCACTGGGATTAACATTAAGTGGTCATTAGTGGGGAACCTCTGAATTCAGGCTCTGGGAAAAGCTGAAAGTGTTGGTTCAGTGGTTGGTTGGTTCAATGAGCTCTACTCTTGAGTACTCCAGTAGTTTTTCCTCCATTCAGGAGGAAACCTACATCCACTCCCTTTCACATGTATCTTATATCTCTACCTGACATCCCATAGTATTAACTGGCTGCTCTAGTATTGCCCAGTAGAACTCCCTACAATGGAATGGTCTATATCTGCATGTGCTATTGAGCACTTGAAATGTGGCTAAAAAGATAAAACAAAACAAACAAACAAAAACAAAGAAATGTAGCTAAAGCGACTAAAAAACTGGATTTTAGTTTTGTTTTGTTTTTTCTCTTTTTTTTGAGACTTTTGCTTTGTTGCCCATGATGAAGTGCAGTGGCACAGTCTTGGCTCACTGCAACCTCTGCCTCCTGGGTTCAAATGATTCTCCTTGTGCCTCAGCCTCCTGAGTAGCTGGGACTATAGGCATGCATACCACCAGGCCGGGCTAAATTTTGTGGGGTTTTTTTGTTTTTTGAAACGGAGTCTCGCTTGTCATCCAGGCTGGAGTGCAGCGGCACAATCTCGGCTCACTGCAACCTCCACCTCCCAGGTTCAAGGGATTCTCCTGCCTCAGCCTCCCAAGTAGCTGGGACTACAGGCATGTGCCACCACACTCGGCTAATTTTTTTTTTGTATTTTTAGTAGAGACGGGGTTTCACCGTGTTAGCCAGGATGGTCTCGATCTCCTGACCTTGTGATCTACCCTCCTCGGCCTCCCAAAGTGCTGGGATTTAATTTTTGTATTTTTTAAAATAGAGATAGGGTTTCGTCATGTTGGCCAAGCTTACTTGATTTAGTTTTAGCTAATTTAAATTTAAAAAGCCACAAAGTGGCTGGTGGCTTCCATATTGGACAGCACCATCTAAACCATGTATCTAGGTCCTTAATTGAACACTACTGTATTTGTCCCCCTAAACTCAACTTTTTTTCTTTTTTTGAGACAGAGTCTTGCTCTGTCACCCAGGCTGGAGTGCAGTGGTGTGATCTGGGTTCACTGCAGCCGCCACCTCCCAGGTTCAAGCAATTCTCCTGTTTCAGCCTCCCCAGTAGTTGGGTTTACTGGTGTGCACCACCATACTGGGCTGATTTTTGTATTTTTAGTAGAGACAAGGTTTCACCATGTTGGCCAGGCTGGTCTGGAACTCCTGACCTCAAGTGATCTGCCTGGCTTAGCCTCCCAAAGTGCTAGGATTACAGGCATGAGCCACTGCGCCTGGCCTTCTTTTTTTTCACACAATGAAGGTTTATTTTTTTTTTGTCACTCTTATGTCTGTTATGGTGAACTGGTGCCTCCTTACTCAGTAACCTATGAAAATGGAACAACTATTATCTGTTCTACAACTTTCTTCCTGAAGTAAAGGCAGAAACCAAAAACTTCCCTTGGATGTATTTAATAAAATATTAAAATTAAATACCAGGCACCAAAGATAATAAAGACTCCTTTCCTTCAAGGTATTTACAATATATAATTGGGGATTAGACAGATTATGTAATCATAACAAGATAGAATAAAATAAATGCCATAAAAAAGATAGAAAATGCTATAGGAGGAAGTGCTAAATTTGTGACTGCGAGATCATGAAAGGCTTTGTGACAAAGGTGTCATCTTCAGATGGCTCTTGAGGGAAAGAAGGGTAGGATTTTAACAGATGAGGCTGGAATAATAGGAAACAATTTGAAGTCAAGGATAAGCATGAGCAAAAGCAGAGACATCATTCTCCATATTATAAAGCACAATACTTAATACATTGTAGCAATTCAATAAACAAGATTGAGTAGATTAACATACACACCTGAAACCTCACTTTTTTTTAAATTTTGACACAGAATTTTCGCTCTGTCGTCCAGGCTGGAGTGCAGTGGTGTGATCTGGGCTCACTGCAACCTCCGCCTCCCAGATTCAAACAATTCTCCTGCCTCAGCCTCCCAAGTAGCTGGGATTACAGGCATGCACCACCACATCCAAACCTCACCTTTCACCTGAATGAATGAAAGCCTTTCGTATGCCCCACTACATTATGGAGGCTTATGATATTTTGATTATAGAAAATGCATAAACAGGCCTGGTGCGGTGGCTCACACCTGTAATCCCAACACTTTTGAGTGGATCACCTGAGGTCAGGAGTTCCAGACCAGCCTGACCAATACGGTGAAATCCCGTCTCTACTAAAACTTACAAAAATTAGCCAGCGTCGTGGCGCGAGCCAGTAGTCCCAGCTACTCAGGAGGCTGAGGCAGGAGAATCGCTTGAACCCGGGAGGCGGAGGTTGCAGTGAGCCGAGATCGCGTCACTGCACTCCAGCCTGGGCGACAGAGCAAGACTCCATCTCAAAAAAAAGAAAGAAAAGAAAGAAAAAGAAAATAGATAAATGAGGCTAAGAAACATTATTATTATTATTATTTTTGAGACGGAGTTTCACTCTTATTGCCCAGGCTGGAGTGCAATGGTGCGATCTCGGCTCACCGCAAGCTCTGCCTCCCGGGTTCAAGTGATTCTCCTGCCTCAGCCTCCCGAGTAGCTGGGATTAGACGCATGCGCCACCACGCCTGGCTAATTATATATTTTTTATAGAGACGGGGTTTCTCCATGTTGGTCAGGCTGGTCTCGAACTCCTGACCTCAAGTGATCCGCTGGCCTCGGCCTTCCAAAGTGCTGGGATTACAGGCGTGAGCCACCGCGCCTGGCTAGAAACATTATGTTCAAAGTCCGGGATAATATGGAGCACGAGTCATAAATGCTACGGCTCTAGTCTTCCAATTCACCTAAGACACAGAAGAGGGTATAAGGGAGAGGAAGCACTCTTGACCTCAGTCCTTTATCCTACCTGAATTCTGAGCTCTCCCACTTCCAGGGGGTCACAGCCAAGATTAAAAGCCAAAGTGGCAGGGACGAGCGCCAGTCCATCAGCGAGGGGCTCTCCCAGCTGCCCAGAGCCGGGTCCCAGTCTATCAGAGAGGTCCCAGCGAGGTTCTAGGACCTGCACCCTGGCCAAATGCGGCCGTGAAGTGTTCGATGACTCTCCGGCCCGGGCCACCCACACCCATTCGCCCTGGAAGAGGCCAAGGCCACGGAGACAGCTCCGGCTCACCCCTAGTGAATCTCCAGTCCCTCCCAGAACTCCCTGGAGTCGCCGGACTGTGCCAGAAACCGCAAAGGAGGACACCACGGGCGGGGGTGGGGGCCGACTGCTGTCCCCAGACTCTGGGCACAGTCTGGCCCGCCCGCGGAGCTCAGTCACAGCCAGCCGAGTCCCTGGGCCTAGCAGCCCTTGCAACGCCGGCCGCGTCTCCAGCACCCGCGGTCCGGGCACTGGGAGGGTCTCTCCGCGCCTCACCAGCAGCGGCCCGACTCGTGGTCCGAGCCCAGGCCCCAGTGAGGTGCCAAGCAGTGCCCAGCCTAGCGCCGGGGGCCGCCGCACCGGCCGCGCCCGCACCCAGGCCCCGGAGCCTAGTGCCAGGAGCCGCAGCAGCGCGCGGCTAACCAGGAGCTGCGGGGGCCCGGGACCCTGCTCTTCGGTGCCCGCGCCCGGCCCCTCCAGGGCTGCCACCAGCAGCGCCGGCCCTGCCGGGCTCTCCCCTGCAGGCCTCAGGGCCAGCACCAGGCCCAGCCCCGCCGCCGGCCACGGGCCCCCGGGCGGCAGCAGCACTGCCAACGGGGGTGTCTCGGTCGGAAAGGGCTCCAGGACCCGCAAGACAGCCAGCGCCATGGTGACAGGAGACCAACGAGGAGGGTGAAGGACCGCGGCTTCCGGAGCCAGCGAGCTAGACCACTAGTGTGCGCGAGCGCCGCTTCCGCTTCCGTCAGGGGAGGCCGGAGGAAAAGGGGAGGGGCGTCGGGTGCAGCGAGCTTGTTCTGAGAGGGTAAGCTGCGCCCCGAGGCGGATTGGTCTGCGTCGTGCCTCGATGGCAGTAACGTTCATCACTGCTGTTGCGTAGCGTTTACGCATGCGCCCTTTGAACCTGTGCTTAAGGAATTTATCTTTGCCTTCTACGGAAGTAATGTAACTATCTTAACTATCTTTCCTCGTAGCATGAACCTAACAGTTTATTGACTGATAAATGAACAGTCAGCATGCTCGGGATGACTGGGCCTAGTGCTGGGAGCTCTAGGTGAAATATTTCAGAAGGAGTCCGCCCCTCTGCGGAACTCCTGCAGCTTCCCCTGTGGAACTGTGAGCACTGAGGTTTGAGGGTTGCAGAAAAGGTTGCAGGAGGGAGTAGCAGGATTAGAAAACTGTCTCATACCTGCTTATAGGTGTATAGTGGCTGCTGAGTGAATTACTAGCTAGATGTGATTCATATAGCCCTGGAGTGCTTGGTGCCACCACACATGTTCCAGCACATCTGGCACAAAACCCATGTTCCAGGACTTCTTGCCCTGTTCGTTGTCCTTTTTGTTTCACTCCCACCACACTTGACGACAAAGCAGCTTCCTTTCTTCACCTCCCAAATCCTTGCAGATTGGAAACTCATTCACTTTCTATCGTAGAGCGGGGCAGGCAGCAGAGCAGGCAGAAGGAAAGGAGTTGAGCTTCTGTCAGCACGGCACCAACAGTCGACTTCCTGCCTGTTCTGTTACATAGATTCCATCCTCTTCACCTCCATTCTTCTGTACAAGACACTCAGCTAGTGGTAGGCCACATTTCCTTTTTTATGGAGACAGGGTCCTACTCTGTCACCCAGGTTGGAGTGCAGTGGCACGATCACTGTTCATTGCAGCCTCCACCGTCCCAGGCTCAAGTGATCTCCCATCTCAACCTCCCCAGTAGCTGTAGCTGGGACCACAGGCACACGCCACCATGCCCAGTTAATTTGTTTTCTTTTTTTTCTTTTTTTTTTGAGACGGAGTTTTGGTCTTGTTGCCCAGGCCAGAGTGCAATGGCACGATCTCAGCTCACTGCAATCTTAGCTTCCCAGGTTCAAAGAATCCCCTGCCCCAGCCTCCCAAGTATCTGAGATTACAGGTGTGTGCCACCACACCCAGCTAATTTTGTATTTTCAGTAGAGATGGGGTTTCACCATGTTGGTCAGGCTGGTCTCGAACTCCTGGCTTCAAGTGAGCCACCTGCTTAGGTCTCCCAAAGTGTTGGGATTACAGGCATGAGCCACTGCGCCTGGACTAATTTTTTATTTTTTGTAGAGACAGTTTCTCTGTGTTGCCCAGGCTGGTCTTGAACTCCTGGTCTGAGGAGATCCTCAGGCCTCAGCCTCCCAAAGTGCTGGGATTACAGGCATAAGCCATCATGTCCCACTATATTTCCAATAATTAACAATTATTTTCACTTACAATAAATGAATTGGATGGTGGCAATTTTCATTTTCTAGACCTTACATTCTCTTTCAGCTACTGCTCAGCTTTCTTTCTCTCTCTTCTTGAGGCAGTCTTCTATTTTGTACATTATACATTCCTGAAAATTTGAAAGCCAAATATATGAAAACTATTAGATTTGCATATTATAAGGGGCTGGGTGAAGTGGCTCATGGCTGTAATCCCAGAACTTTGGGAGGCCAAGGTGGGTGGACTGCTTGAGGCCAGGAGTTTGAGACCAGCCTGTCCAACATGGTGAAACCTCATCTCCACTAAAAGTACAAAAATTAGCTGGGCGTGGTGGTGTGTGCCTGTAGTCCCAGCTACTTGGGAGGCTGAGGCAGGAGAATGGTGTGAACCTGGGAGGCGGAGCTTGCAGTGAGCTGAGA